CGGGCTTGCATTCTGAGCACCGTTTTGTAAGGGATGGAGATGGCAGCATTTAACAAAGCTAAAAATAAAAGAGCAGAAGCGGCGGACATGAAAATTATAAGATCAGCGTTAGGAGTGAAGTGGTATGACGTTATGTCATATACTGTTGTAAGAGAGAGATTAGAATATCAAATTAAAGTAACTGACTGACTGCAAACAAGGCGTTTAAGATGGCGGAGCCACTGTCAACGAATGGATAGCCGCCAAAGCCTGATGGTTGGCGACCGCAAGAGTGAGATCTCTAACACGATGTCGTCAGAACAACAATGCATCGAAAGCACTGTAGAGTGAGCACCCATTTATTCGATCAAGCTATAATAATGGTACAGCATCGGGCATCGTCTTCGATATAGTAGGATAAAAATAATAAAATGCGTCATGCACATCCCGATTTCACGATTTTTCAAATCGTACCGGACTCATCTTCCGGGAACAGAAGAACAATTCACAAACAGGAACCTTAATTCTGCTTCTTATATGCTTGATGTCTATTAAAGATCGATCCAAGGTGGCCTGAAAGGTCAGGCAAACCATAAATAACATAACCATGCTGTGCAAACTCTTTAAATACCAAGATTATGAAAGATTTGCACTGGCTGAAATAAATCAATGTTCAAAAATACGTATAAATTAATACAAACATTATAGTTTCATCAAATGAAATTATTTTCAACTGGCTAGATACTCCGCGTTATCCTGATGTTGAAGTTCAGCTAGCTTTCGATGACGATCACACTACAACAACAGACGGGAGACACTTTCTTACACCATTATCATTAAACGGAGAAGAAAAATTTTTAATTTAACCGCATTATGCAAAAAAACATCGAAAATTCCAGGTTTTAAATACCGTGCTCAAAGATTTCGTTAAAACATGTAACTAATATTAGAGAAACCTATGCTGAGTTGTCGATACCAAAGCCTATGGAAATACGATTCCGTTCGTCAAAAGTCACACGTTTCAGAAGTTCAGAAGGATACCATGC